AGATTTATATTAGGCAGTTCCTTCAATGTGAGGCACAGAACTCAGCAATCAACCAACAGTCGTATGTGGATGGTGGAGTTAATGTGCTACAGTATCATATATATTTCAACCTCAAACAACCATATAATGTGTCATTTTTCCGAATATTATTCCATCAATGAATCTGATACTAATGTTGTGATGTTTTCATGAATTTAATCACTTTATATATTTTAATGAAAGTACCGAGAAGATGGCCAACATTTAACCTGAAGGTGGTTTATCAAAATATTCTTAAATATTGATTTCCAAGTAAGTCAGAATTATTTGGATTGATCACAAAAGAAAATTTATTATTGTGCTATTGGAAATTGCCTGGCAATGAGACTTCATCCGTGTATTGACTACAAGAATATTTCACAACACAATCACCAACAAAGGTTACATTCTGGGCAGGTTTTCAGGGTCGTATTTGAAGAAACTAAAAATTGTTTGATAACTGTTTTTATGACTGCGCTCTGAACCTGAAGGTAGGTGTGTCGGTTTTGTCACAGTATATGTATTTTGTGGGTGTGTGAGTTATTAGTCTGCAATTGATTATACATTGATTGATCTGTACAAAACAACAGAGGGTGTGTTCTGTCATGTAATCAACCAGGTCCTAGTTAATGATCATCTGGCTGTTGGCAATCAGGGAAGCTGCAGACTCGTGTGTCACCTGCCTAGTGCATCCTGGGTATTACCGAAACATGTTACACTTACCCTACTTCCGACCAATCACTGCTGTGTTGTAAACGTAAAATACACCTAGGCATCCATTTTTTGATCCACTTACCAAGGAGATTGACACATCAGCCTGGCTGGAGGCTTGCCACAGGTCAGTGTTTTTAGGGTCAAATATTGGACTAAACAGCCTTGTTGAATGTCTAACTGGTCATCAGGGACATTGTTTATTTGTTTTTTCATTATGAGCCTTCTGTTTGTGGTAATGTTGTCTCGGACTGTAACAGCTTTGGGCTATAAAATTGCTAGAACCATGTGGGGCTCCACTCACTCACTCACTCACTCACTCACTCACTCACTCACTCACTCACTCACTCACTCACTCACTCACTCACTCACCTCACTCACTCACTCCTCACTCACTCACTCACTCACTCACAGAAACAGTAAGATTAAAATTATTTTGACTCAGCACGACCACACACTCACTCACTCACTCACTCACTCACTCCTCACTCCCAATATTTCCAGCAGACCACACAACATACCCATCAACCCACTTCCAGTCTACAGAGAAACAGTAGGCAGTTCTCATCCCATGTCTGCACATTATATTTTATTTATGTTGTTATTATTTTCATGGGGGTGAAGGGGACGGGGAAATACACAAACTCTTTGGGGATCTTTAACTGGATTTCTCCATGATACAAAAAGTAATTATTGGTTTATTTATGTCAGTTGTAAATTGGAACATTTCCTACAAAAGACTTGACATTTATGTACTGGAAATAAATACAATTTTTAACAATTTTTACTTTGGTAAATGTTTCAGTAATATTTATCGCCATGGCGATCTCTGATATTGTTGAGTCTAGAGTAGGGATGGTTGTGAAGGAGTTACTGTCCTGAGACAAAATGGCTTGCACTGAATTTTAACTTTTATGTGGATCTTTTATGCGTGAGGAGTAAAGTTTTTAGATCAAGACTTATGTTAAGCAGATGCATAGAGAACGGTTTGGGATGATGGCTTTATTGATTGGCACTGGGGAGTACTGTAGTCAGGTAGAAAAAGTTCAAACATAAAAAGGATTATCATGAAAAGATCATTAAATGCATCATTAAATATGTATACTGGGACATTCAAACAAAGTGAACTTCTTAACGAAGCAGACAGCGTGATGTGCACAGTTTGTGGATCTCTATGGAGGTTGAGCCATGGCCACATATTGCTAATTGATTCAGGCTGAGGTAAACGTGCAGTTCTAATTTTCAGTGAAATTGGTGATCGGTTTAGCCTCAGTGTTTAATAGGGACATCATGGGAGGTTCCAGACGAAGAATACACGTGAAATATGCCTAGCATACATTACAGCATTAGCACAGTCGGTTTCAGCAGGATGGTGCTTATAGAAGTGCCGATTCACTGTGTCGGTGGCTGAGGATGGGAGGGTGTAGTTAGTGTTGTGTTTCTCATTGTCCTTTACCACAGATCAGGATCAGGCAAGACTAAACAAGTTCACATGAAAATAAACCTGTTTTCCCTGTACTTTCTCAATATAAACATGCTAACCTGGTAGTTTCACAGCCTGAAAAAATAACGTGAGAATTAACTTATTGAATTGTTGCATTAAATCAATCATATTTATCACATTTACAGTGAGTTCTATTTCTGTAATATGCCATAACACACCATTGCTGATGCTGCTTATCGTCTTACGGCATTGGCACCAACTAATGAACATGTTGGTGTGCAATTCTGGCGCCTCAGATGGTTTGCTGTTCTGTATTTAAATTACAGTTCTTAGAAGAATGGCTGTACGGTTATATTTTTTATAAATCACCACAGAGAAGACTACCAGAGATTATTCCAGGTACTGTAACACTCACAGATCGGGGCATTCTCACTTAGTTGTAAGATAGCTTTGCTGGAAATGTCTGTTGTGAATGAGTAATTAGGATGAGAGTTTAAAACTCCTTACTAGAATGAGTAAGTGTAGTTTTACACTACTTTAGCAATATTCCAGCAATATCATGATGGGGGACACCAGAAATGTACCCATGTGAGGAATTGAACCTGGGTGTTGAGTGTGATGAGCGAACACTTTAACCACTAGGCTACCCTCCGCCCCTCCTTACTAGAAGAGGCACATTGAAGAGAATATTATTGTCTGAAATTTTGTTACAAAATATTTAATATTCCAGCATATAGGAAAGTCAATTAATTTTTTACGTTAAAATATGTTGGAATAGGTTCTATAAAACCTCGAAATTTCACTAATTTTAGTCATGCCAATGAACAGAGTTGTTAGAGTATAATAAAATATACTACCCATCAGAAGTTTAGACTCACTTAAAGCACTCACTATATGTTATGTATATATATATGGTTACATCGAAGATGAATTTCTCAATTAACTTAGGGGAACCACCTGCAAAGCTTATGCGGATGAATTGCACGAGGATCATGTATCAAATTGCTGAAAAGCTTGTGCAAATATCGTGCATGTGAACAGTTGCGTTTTAGTGTAAAGTTTTGTTAAGAAATCGCCAATTTTCACTGATTTTTATCATTTATTGAACCCTTGACAATAATCTTTTCAACGTTACAAATTTGTTTTACAATACATCAATTCATGTGTAAACAGTACCTTTAAACAGTGGGGAATATTTTGCAAAATCTAGTTTCGAACAGGTGACTGAAGTAAGTGGCTACATTTACACTAGTGAGTCTAAACTTTTGATGGGTAGTATAATACAAATGATAGCTTTCTGTAAGATGAAGCAGTTTCTAGCACTGTTTCCATACACTCATAATGAGGATTGCATCAACCTTCCTATACACAACAGAACATCTCTCCTAATGGCAGACTGACTGACTGAGTTTGGTTTTACGCCGCTTTTAGCAATATTCCAACAACATCACGGCGGGGGACACCAGAAATGGGCTTCACACATTGAACCCGGGTCTTCGGTGTGACGAGCAAACGCTTTAACCACTAGGCTACCCCACCGCCCCCCTAATGGCAGAAAAGAATACAAGTGTGGATTTTGTTTGCTATAAATTCCTCTTGTCATAAAAAAATATATCTCATAATAGCATAAAAATCAATTGCATGGCTGTATGTACAGAATTATATTCATTTGAGCTACCATTGATCGTGTGTAGACGACCAATCACAGATAAGTGTCTTAGTGCACTATCATGGAATAATAATTCATACGAGAAATTCATTTTTAATTATAACCACTACAAGCAAAATATTAGGATTCAGATATTAGGAAAATATAGATATAGAATATTAGTTGAATCATGCATCAGTAATAGCTTAGAGAAAGACTCCAGTCAAAAGTTGTAAAACTCATCTCACAGACATACTATTGAAAAAGGTATAAATGACGGCTGCACAATTTCACAGATGTTTAAGATAAATCCTAGCCTAAGGTATCAAGGACTCAAGCTGTTAGTAACACAAACTTATGTCTAGATGGTTTAATAAACTGCTTTGATAAAGAAAACATGTCATCATCTATATGACAATAACATGAGCAAACACCAATTTAGGGTCATTAAAACGTGGCCCAGAGTAAACACATCTATTGTAATCCAAGCACCTTTAATTGACACATCAACTTAGGCTCGTTAAGATCTAGCCCAGGGTAAGCATCCAAGCATCCAGTAAAAGTGCCAACAAGATTAGTGCCAGTTGAAATAGGATTAACAGGATTAAGTACTCCCTCAGTCTGGTCATTGAAGTTGTGTTTGTAGGACACACCCCATCGTGTATATTCTGTATTTCATTGGTTATTGTAGGTTACACCCATTTTTGTATCAGTCAACAAATCATAATCTCTTGCTTGTTTCAGTTTTAGATAAATAGTCACTATCTCCATTCGTTTGTCGGTAGGGTTTAGACTCCCATCACAGGTCAGCTCTAGCCCTCAGCCCAGAGGGTTGTACCGACTCTCTGTGGCCACCCCATGTAATTCCATTCTTGTAAATAAAATTGTGATTAGCTTCTTGTGACTTCGGACTCTTTGCTGAGTTAATTCCCCCAAGCAGACCAGCACACCAGTTAGATAAGGTGTTTCACCGGAACCATCACTTGGACCCAAGACCCCTATCATAATAGCACCCTTACTGCACTACACGGTCTACCCCGACTGGGAATATAAGAATATGTGATAAAAATAGAATCAGCTGGGTCTTGCGGTACCCTGTTGTTGTCTCAGTTGTAGCCATCCAACCGTGAATGCTGTAATGTAGGCGTGATATACATTTCCAAATAAACAACTACGATGATGTACCATGTGCTTTGACCAGTACAGTCATTATTTCATTTCATTATTGGAGGTAACATGTGATGTTTTGATCAGCGGACGCTAGATTCTAATTGGGGTTTAACACCTGTATAATTACCTTTTACGAACCTGAGCGAGTAAGCCTGATCACTGCCTGTTGTTCTGTTATGGCCAGGTGCTGCACACTGTTAATTCTGACATGGAATGTACATTATTAAGCAAGCCAGGCTCGAGGCATTTTGTCATTGTTTGAAGGTCTTATGGTAAGGCCTCATTCATGATTTGCTTCAGTAGTCACCATTTTATTGAACTTGTATTTGAAAAGCAGTGTATTAGCTGAAGGTTCTGCCATGTTGAATACCTGTGGATATGTGAGGTCTGCTGTTCTCAACACTGGAGGTGGTGTGGGACATATTCGCGTGTGCCAGTCAGAAGGTGAGTTGTAACACTGATGGTTGATATGTGTCGTATCTCCCTACCTGATTGGAACAACTTGAATCAGGACTATACAAGTTAGACTACTATCACAACCATCTACGAGGATCAATACACTGACACAGACTCTCAACATGTTACTGATGGTAATCTGGAGCGAATAACAACAAAATCAATGGGATTTCTCTACTACACTATTTTTGTTTTACATTAAAACAATTAAGCAACAGGTTTATAGCGGTACTGTTTTGACTGAGCTCAGAGGCATGTGATTTCTATGCAGCATGTCCTGCAGCCAGGTGATCAGCTGTGCTGTGTGGATATATGGAGAGACACTATTGATTCAGGCATACATTGTACGTAATGTTTGTAACATTTCTCAATAATCAAATCAGTTCATAAATCTGTCAGATAAGGTATAACCATCTAGTGGATAGATTAACCTAATTGCAGGTAATTCAGCTGCTGTTGTGGCGTCAACGTAATTGGACCTAGTCACAGACGTGGACTGTACACAGAAGTGTAGAAGGAGAATGGATGTGCCTGGTTGCGTCACAGGCATCACGTTTCACTGTGTATTTTCCAATGGCTGCATAGCATTTTTATAGAAATATTTATTTGAAGTTATGAATTGATAAAACAAGCAAAAAAACCTGAGTCCTCCTGCCTGATCTATGAGAGCAACGTGGATGGTGGTCAGGTCAATATGGAACATTGTTGCTGATGTAAAGCCTTAATGAGGACATTGATTACTGTAATGGCAGCTGTATGTATGCCAAGGTGACTATAGATGCCTTTCTTCATTACTCAACATTATATAGACTTCTATAATCAGACATGTTTTCATCAGCTCCTTCAGCTCTTTTGTTCGTTTGCGTGAATCGTAAAAAAACGTAAAAGCGCTATGATGTATGTTTTAAAGATGAGGAGTGATTAAAATGGCTGACAATATGAGGAGGCTTAGGATATAGGCAAAAATACGCTAGCTGCTGAATTGTGGGGCATGCAGCTTGGGGCATGTGCAAACTGTTGGGTGTGTTTCGCTGTTAGGTTTTACTTATCATACTTGGTGGCAGTGTGTGGTCCTGTGAGTAGAGCTCAGGCTACAATCAGTTGAAGTTAAGCAATGTTGGGCACGAGAGTCCTTTGATGGGTGACCGTGTTTGGCAGCTTGACTCCTGAGAGTTTCTAGGACTTCAGACCTGCCCCACAATGAAGCACATGTGATACATGTGGTCTCACCTTAGGCAAGTGAGTTTGTTCAAAATTGCCTCTGTCCACCCAGCAGTAAATTGGGTACCTCCTATGATACGATGGTAGTCTGAATTTGAACCTTGAGCGCCAGGCGACCGGTTGTATTCTCCACAGGGAGTGTTCTGTACTCGTTGACCAGGGGTAATATGTCAGCACTTTGAGCATGCAATGTGCATGGAATAACGCGCAATATAAGTGGACTATTATTATTGTTATTCTTATTATCATAAATGTTGTGTCATCAAAGCTTGTGTTTGTTCTAATACTTGGTATAACATATATATTTCTCTTACTTTTTTATGATTATATATTGAAAGATTTATTTATATGCATGGTCGTATCTATAAATAATCATATACAGATTAACAACCATACCACAGATTGACTATGTTAATATCAGAATCAGGGTTACTTCAGTTCTTTTGAGTAGCATATATTTGATTAATAAGAGTGGAAGTTTTTTTACTTGTATGAAAAGAAATTATATGTTGATATCGATGTTCTCCAATAATCCTACAAAATGCCATGTACAGTGTGTCAGCGAGTGTTGTGATAATGTGATAATGCATAGTAACAGGTCTACAGGGAGCAGATAGCGTGTCAGTTATGCTTGCTGACGGGGTTAACCTCTTTGGTCATGTGGACAAGGCGTCCGACTTCTGATCAGAAGGTCCGTGGTTCGAATCCCAGCACGGGACTCGGAAATTTTATGGCCGCTACACAATATTTGTTGATTGACCCAGTGTCCAGTTTTAAAAAGGACATCCCTTTTTTTACCAAATTGATTATCTTAGCATTTCCATGGTTGATATATGCTAGAATGTGATTCCCAGTGGCTGCCTTTAGATATTTTGCTAAACTCCAGAATTGTTAACGAGTTTCTGCACATCAGGCAATACGTCTTCCTGAAGAGGAAACTGTTAGCCAGTGATTTGAGGGAAAATATGGAAATAGATTTGTTCAGTAAGAGCTGCTTGCATGGTAATACTTCATTGATATGTACTTTTGTTAAAATATGCATTATTTAGGTTGCATGTCATCTACAAGCGTATATCACTGTCAGACAGCCAACAAATTCTTTATCATAATGTGATGCTGATCTGATACAAATCCCAAGAAATATTCCAGTCCAAATAGGGAGTCGTTGGACCCCTTTCCATTGAAAGTGATTGTGAACAGGTAGGTGAGTCAGTTTCCATGTTGCAGCTAGAGAACAGTGTGTGAGTGAGTTAAGTTTTACACCGCTTTTAGCAATATTTCAGCAATTTCACGGCAGGGGACACTAGAAATTGGCTTCACCCACGTAGAACAGGATGCTGTGGGGAACAAAGATGTGTTTTTGCATTAAAGGCAAACCATGACTGATTATTATTTGATATTGCAGGAAAAGATTAAGCTATTGGCAGTGAATGTTTTATTGGTGTCTCTTTTCCTAAAAGCAGTAGATAAAATGAAATAACATAGCCTGCTTTTTGTGATCAGTTGAGTCTGGCGCTGGTCAGGTGGTAAAACCCATATATCCCATGTATTAGGAACTGATGGCTACAATTGCCGCTGATAGACCAGTTTATAATGTGTTAGGTAATAAAGCATGTAGGTGCATCATTGGGGCAGGTGGTTGTCCTCCAGCCACTCCTGTCACGTGAGACAACTCCACCAATAGAACAGGCATAGAGGTGTCATCACTGCATCACAGGTTGACTATAGAGTTATATACCCTACAGTCAGAGCAGCACGTTGGATATGTGGTTATATCAACCAGTTATATATAGATCACTGAGGTAGATTATTGGTGTTGAGTATAAGGTTATTTACCCTGATAAAGAGGCCATGTCACATTGATGTTGCTCTGCATCAATTGGAAACACCAGTCATGATGTTCCAGCAGTTATATTCTCTACCTGTTGTATATTTCTGTTACATCTGTTTTGTTTATGCGAGTAATAATCACAAGGATGAACCTTGTTTTAATCTTAGTTCCATTTCTCCATATCATTTTCTGTGGGCAAACAAGATAGAATGTTCTAAACATTCTAAATCTGTGTCAGTACAATTTGTCCTCCTTCATTCTTTATTTGACCTTCAGAAATCTTGACAACTGAATAGTAAGAAATCCAAGAAAATACTTCTTTGTTTGAAGCCTGGTGGATGTTAATGTTTTGTGACAATATAGACGACTCTTAGCTTGATGCCTGGTGGATGTTAATGTTTGTGGCAATATAGATGCCCTGTCTTTTGTTATCCAGTGTGACCAGGAAAGGATACAGGATATGTTTGGACTGGCTTCTGAATGTGGCAAATAGGAAACCTCTATCATTGGCTGTTTGTCATTTTATGATGTTCATACTCTCAAGCACTGGTGTGCTGGTTCATACCTGATACCATTACTGTGTATCACAAAGGATGCCACAAATGCATTAGATATAGGTCCTAAAAGTGATGTTGGTCAGTGCAACGTTGACCTAGGCTCTAGTTGGTCACGCGGCAGACATGTTGGACATCCGGACGCTTGGCGATGGCTACTTGACATGTCTCGTTTAAAGCCATTTAATCTTGTCGGCTAAGATGATAACGGTTTAGGAGCATGTTTCTCCTTTTGGCTAGAGGCTATGTCTACACTGTGATTGGTACCAGCCACTTGGCACTGAGGACAAGGAAGTCAGTGAGATTTTCCCAGTCTGCTTGGTAAACTGGTGGATTAATACTTGATTGTGCTCTGTGGTAATATCTGTATTAAGTAAAGCATGTGCGTGCAGGGAGACACGGATCCTACTGTAAAGCTTTTTGATCTTAAAAAACTTTCTGCAATTCTTTTTAAACTACAGTCCTTGAAATGTGATTGGTGTTAAGCTTAGTGATCATGCACTTCCCGGAAATCAGCTTGATGTCAATATTCATTTAGATTTTCAGATTTCATTAGCATCACCTTTTAAGCATATATAATTCAATATAAATATTCGGATGGTCTTTTTATGACTGTGTGACATAATTGTAATTTCGTGTTTTGGTTAAAATTTGTTATTACATGTTCTGAACTGCCATTTATAAGATTTTCTCAATGGTTCATCACCATGAAAAACACGGTTTTCTGCCTATTTTAACACAATATGTGTAGATGTGTTATAATGGCAATTTAAAAAGAGAGCACAGAAGCATATAGATGAAAAGGATTGAAGTGTATAGACAGGGAGGACAGAAGCAAAAAGATGAAAAAGATTGAAGTGTATAGCCTGGGAGGACAGAAGCATATAGATGAAAAGGATTGAAGTGTATAGACAGGGAGGACAGAAGCATATAGATGAAAAGGATTGAAGTGTATAGACTGGGAGGACAGAAGCATATAGATGAAAAGGATTAAAGTGTATAGACAGGGAGGACAGAAGCACATCAACAGGAAGGCCTGAAGCAATAGATGGAGGATTTGTTTCATGTCTTTACAACGTGTCAAGATGCAGTAAAAGATATTTATCCCCCACAACGTGTTTTGCGGGGGTATTAAAATGGACTCCATCCGTGCATCTGTGTACATTTGTCTTTTCCAGAGCAGAACTTTAAAACTGTTCAATATTTCTTCACCAAACTTGGCACATGGATAGATCTGGTGGTGTACTGGTGCCTTTTGGTAGTTTTGCTATATCAAAAAAGTTTGACTTAGATTGAAATTGGTGGTTGTGCTCTTTTCCGTAGCAGAACTCTAAAACCGTTCACTATTTCTTCACCAAACTTGGCACATAGATTGGTCTGGT